GGAGAAACAATAGTAATCATATTAAAATCGCCTCAGGTTATTTAAGCATTCATTTTTTTGTTGTTTTTTTTTTGAAATTGGCATAGCAAGTTAGATTAGTAGTGATGTAGAAGTTTAGCAAATTCAGGGTAACTTTTACCTGTGTCAGTCTTTTTTTTTGTCTGGTAATTCTGCTATACTAGGAAGTTTGCTAAGTGGTTCATCCCCAAGGGTTCTCAAACTTTACATTGACCCAGTTCTGCTTTCTGCGTTCGTCTGCTACTCTTCCGGAAATGAATCAGATATATTATATTAGATAATTAACATAATCACTTTGACAACGTATAGAACTTTTTTAACGCGAGAAACTACAAATGAAAACTGGTCCTCATAAAAAATTGTTGCTTAAGTTCAATCACTTTTGAATTGTGTTCTAGTGAAACTAAACAAGAACAGGGTTAGTTTCATTTTGCAATCATTTTGGTTTTTTTTTTGATTAGATGTTTTCAAAAACTTGTCCATTTCTCTAGAGCTACCCTTTGTATACACCATTTATAGAAATTGAGTAATCTTGGCTTTGTTCCCTTTTCATTAATCCCTTTTCCCATTGTATCAGTACAATTCATCCAAATATCCCTCCTTCCCTCATGACGATGTGTCACGCCCTCATTCTTAGATTGCGCTATTCAAGAAAGGTTTCAAAGCGAAGAAGAAGCTGCTGCACCGTCTATGTTTGTCTATTTTAGGAACAAGCCTGCGACTTATTCTTTGGAAAGAAGGAACGACGTCGGTTCTCTTTGAACAGAAACTTCGTGGGCGATTATATCGGCTTGGAAAATCATCCTGCTTTACAAGTATGAATTATTTAATTTTTGTCCTATAGATCCCAATAATCGCATTATTTCAGAGCCTCGCTGGTAAACGAGAACGGGTAGACTTCGCAAATACTGTTACCAAATATGATCGTCGATTTAAGGTTGGATATAGAATTCGTCTGATAAACAAATGATTTTGAAATATTTAGCCCTCGAAACTTGACGTGCTTCTGACAGATAAAAATCTTACTATGATCGGAAGGCAAAAATCGAAGGAAAAGGCAACTAAAGGTCAACTGGTGGAGGTAGTTAAGAGGTATGTACATATAAATTAAATAGTTAAAGTGTTTATTTTGAGAAAAGATAACAATAATATAAAAGTATGCTGAACTTTTCCAGAGAAGAGCGATATAGTAAGAAATACAAAAATGTTCCTTGTCGGTAACAGAGCTAAGTGTACCAGTAGCAATTCTTTCGTGCT